GATACTTGGAGGTTGGTAAAACTTCCTTTAGGAAGGAAATTCATTGGATGCAAATGGGTGTATGCAAAGAAGGAAGGATTTCATGGAACTGATGTGTGGCACAATGCAAAATTAGTGGCAAAAGGCTTTGCACAACGATAATGAATTGATTATGATGAAGTGTTCTTTCTAGTGGTCAAGCATCCCTTAATACGTGTTCTCTTAGAATTTGTAACATAATATTACCTAATCTTGGAACAACTCAATGTGAAGACTGCATTCCTACATAAAGAATTGTAAAGGGAGATCTACATGTTTCTGTCGCCTAGATATGGAGCATCAAAAGACTTGGTTTACAAACTAAATAAGTCTCTGTACAGGTTGAAGCAGTCACCATGGTAGTGGTATAAAAAATTTAATCAGTTCATGAAGGGAGAGGACTACATGAGGACCCAATATGATCGTTGTGCATATTTCAAGAAGTTGGCCAATAGTGAATTTATTTACTTGTTTTTATATATTGTTGATATGTTGATTGCATCTTCTAGTCAAATTAAGGTTGATAGAATAAAGAATCATCTGTCCAAACATTTTAAAATGAAGGAGTTGGGTGGAGCTTGCAAAAGTTTCAGCATGGAGATTCTTATGGACAAGGCAGCTAGAAAGGTTTGGTTTTCACAAGGAGCTTATGTTCAGAAGGTGCTGTAGAAATTTGGGGTTGATGACTCGAACAAGGCGGTGAATCCACCCATTGCATTTTACTTTTAGTTGAGTTCAAATCAATGTCTTAAAGATGATCAGGAGAGGAAAGATATTGGATCGGCTCCTTATGCTAGTGCGGTAGATAGTTTGATGTATGTTATAATTTATACTAGACTGGATGTTGCACAAGTAGTTGGTGTTATGAGCAGATTCATGCATGATATAAGAAGTAGTTATTGACACATTGTGAAGAGTATTATGAGGTATCTGAAGAGTACAGTTGATGTTAGCTTGGTGTTTGAGAGACATTTATCTATTATATATTTGTGTGTAGGCTACACTGACTCAGACTATGCATGTGATATGAATCTGTGAAGATCTACAACTAGCTATTTATTTACACTGATAGGAGGTCCAGTCAGTTGGTGGTCGTTTCTTTAGTCCACTGCTACTTTTGTCTACTATGGAGGCTAAGTACATGGCAGCCATGGAGGCAATGAAGAATGCAATATGGATGCATGGCCGATTTGATGACTTGGGAGTTGATCAGGAGTCTATGACAGTATTCTGTGACAATAAGAGTGTAATATTTTTTACCATAAATCTAATTCATCATGCTCGTACTAAGCATATTGATGTGAGGTACCACTTTATTCAAGACTTGATTAAAGAAGGCAATGTTCTATTAAAGAAGATATATACGAAAGAGGATCCAGCGCACATGCTTACAAAGATACTGCAAGTTCAGAAATTCACTTATTGCAAGAATTTGGTGAAGATCCGAGCTCAGAACTAATTGCCATGAGGGCATTTTGAAGAACTGCGTGAGGCTTGATCCCTTTGGGAGGAGGGTACGCAGACAATCATCTTGGTACAATTCCTTTGGAGAGTTTGGAGCTCATTTGGTCATCTCTCATATATCTGGAAGTAAGAGATAACGTGGAGATTATTGTATTTATGGTTTTTATTTAGTTAGTGATAATTTTATCTTTTACCTTTATTTACTTGTATGCTTTAGTTCTCATATATCAAAAAGGACTTGGGGCATATGAGAGTTGTATGTGAAGAAGTGTTGAGTTGTAACCCTAAGCTATTTTTTTTCTACCATCTGGTGCCAGTGGAATCTCCCTTCCCGTGGACGAAAGCGAATCGATTTAATGCCGAACCATGTAAATCTTTTGTGTTCGATCGTTGTTGTGTAAATTTCCATGCTTTCACATTATTTTTGCAAAATACTTCGCTTAGGTTATTTTATTTTGCTTCCGTTCAATTTTATTTTTATTCTGAATTTCTCGAATCGATGCTCATATTTTTCACAGTGTGGCCAATCAAAGCCTTAAATAATCATTCATCCCAACAATTATAACAAATTAGTTTATCAATTCTTCGGCCTATTGGCAAATACCTTGATATTTTATCAGTAGTTGCTTATAAGATCAACTTACTGCCTATGTTGAGAGTGACTGTAATGAAGATGGAGTCAGATTTTTTTTTTAAATTTTATTTTCTAACGTCTTAAAAAGTTCTTTAAACTTTAACTAAACAATAATTTTTTGAAAAGTTTATCATGTATGCAAGCTAATTTAGCTTCAAAACTTGTATTCAAAATAGATTTTGTAATTTTTAACAAGTAATTTTTAGCTATATCTTTAAAGTTCTTCTTTTGAATCAACTAAACTCTTAAATTTTATTTTAAAAACTTTGAATTTTTAAATAAAAATTGAAAAATCCTGATATTAGCTTATTAATGGTTGAGGAAGAGGATAAAAGCAAATCCAATAAATATCAATCAATAAGCAACGTGTCTTTGTCTCTTTGACATTATTTCCAAACTGAATTAATATAAATCATCATAATTATAACCTTTGTAGTTCTTACAAAAATATAATGCCAAAGGCTTAATTAAGAAGAAAGTCAGAAAACAAAATTAACTTTCTCAAGTTCTGCCAATCAAGTAAGATTAATAAAATATTAAAACAACTTAGTTGTTTATGTCTCTATTATTAATGACATTCAACTTTTACATACACAACAAATCGAGACAGAACAATATTGTTCAATACATGCTAGTAATTATATATATATATATCTACACACACTTGCTAGCTCAAGATGAAAGAAATTGAGCCATGGAAGTGAAAAGAAAGCTACTACCAGATCACGAACCCTTACAAGACAGCTTCTTTCTGCTCGATCTCTTCCTCCATGAGAAGCTGAGAGAGCTCCTCCGCCTCCTCGACGAAATCAAGAGCCGGTGGGTGGACTTCAGCCTTACTACTAAAGTTGTTCTGCTCACCGGAACAATCATGCTGCTTCTCTTCCTCTTCCGCATAGGTTGCGGTTGTTGTTGCCGCGGCGGCGGTCGGTGTTCTGGCGATGGGAAGGGAGGAGGGAGAATGGGAAGGTTGAAAATGGCAGGTGTGTTTACTGGAAATGAAGTCATCGATTACTTCAGGGTTCGTCTGAGGTCTAAGAAGGAGACGCTGTGCTGAGCCAGAGTTAACATCGATGCTATGTGTATTAATTATTCGTTAAGTTTGATTAATTAGTGATAAACAGAACTACTTATGTTTAGTAATTATGATGATAATTAATTTGTAAGTTAATTTTGGCGAATCTTATCATGCATTCCTTCTCTGATGATCTGCTAAGCTTGGATTTTAACTGGAAAGGAAGATTATAGGATGTTAATTCATCAGCGTTTTGTTTAAGGCTTTAATATTCTTAATTACACGGTTCGTATGTTCATGATTTATTTCATAATTTTCAACTATTAAAACTATCATTTAATTTCTTTATTAAAGTGTTTGATGCCATGATAACATTCCCCGCTCCATTTAAGAAATTAAAGGGGCATTTACATACATACCACCATGTTCCCCTGTATTTATATGTGTCATTTAAACATTGCATTTTATATTTCTACCACTCAAGAGTCAAATCTTTTGTAGCACATAAATACTACTGTTATAACTTCTAAAAATTTAAATACATATTTATCTAGGGCTGTCAAAAAAGCTCCTTGTTCGTGAACAATTCGTGTTCAGCTAGTTAAGTAGTTCGTGTTCGACTCGTTCGTTAAGTAAACGAGCTCAACACATACAATTTTTTTAAGTTTAAATTATAAACGAGTCAAACATGAACAGCTCTTTGTTTGCTCATGTTTTTACCTCAAAAAAAAAAATCATATATACATGGTTTGAGTTCAAATCCAACACTTTACATTTTTTTTTCAATTAATTTTACCGAGTCAATTTCGAGCCAAACACGAACAAGAATATTCAGATCGAGTTGAACACGAACACACTATGCATGAGCCGATTTTGAACACGAGCAATTTCAAACGAGCTGAACAAGAGCAAAGCCTGCGCTCGCTCAAGCTCGGCTCATTTACATCTCTTTATTTACCATCCATAAGTAAAAATATATGTACATAAAAATTAAAATTTAGGTGTTAATTATGTAAATACAGAAGAATTGAGGGGAATGTATATAGATATACCAGAATTAAAATTATTTATATCGTCCTAAAATTCTTTCCACATCTAAATTTTTAAATTCAAATTATTAGCACTAGATCAAATGGCATTTAAAATAAAATTATAAATAAAACATTCAAAAATTTTATTAAAAGAAATAAATTATGACAAAAATATTTAATTTTAAATTAAATCAGCCTACTTTTAACTTATTAATTTTATTTTGAGATTCATTTTACATATTACATTTACATTAAATCCACCTAAAGTAAGATATTTGCCATAGTTTTTTATTTATTTCAAAATCATTAAGGGCCCATTTGGGGCAGCTTACTTGGTGTAGTGGCGTTTTGAAAATGCACTTCGTCTGTTTGTGTAAATTACGTTTTGACGGCTTATGCGTTTTGAAACGCTGAAAACTAAGTTTTCACACCGCACCTATCTAGATGCGGTGGCAATTTTCTGACAGCGGTCTGACTTTTGCAAAAAAAATAAAAAATTGTAATAGTCATTGCACCTAACTTATCAGCAAATTATTTTTAATCATCATATTATCCAATAAGTTGCAGTTGCCCCAAACAAACCATAAGACGGCAATTAAAATACTTTTATATTTATAATATTTTTTTTTTTTGGTGATTCAATGACTAAACAAATATAAATAATTTTAAAATGAGGACATTTACATACCTACCACAAATTCCTACGTATTTACATATATGTACCACCTACCCTTTACTTTTATAAATATACCGCGCAAATCTATAACATCACATGAGAAATACCACCATTTTAAGTTTTTAAAAAAAAAAAAAAAGCAAAATTTGCGTATGTTGGGTGTTATGAATGCAAAAATAGAAGTTTAGGTGTCTGATATGTAAATTCATAAGAATTGAGTGGTTGTATGCATGCGAATCTGCCTTAAATTTAAACAAATCATTACCAAATTTGAAATTCCTGAGTTTTTTTTCTCTTTGGGGGAAAATTTTTCAGAAAGCTGGCCGCAGAATCCGCGGCCTGTTTTAATCTCATAGTTTCCAAATAGGATAAATTGGTTGGTCTTAAATCTTTCCCCTTTTCTTCGATCTCCTTCCTCCTCTCCTTCCAATCACTTAATAGCCTCAGATTTGAATCAGGATTTTATTTTATTTTTGCCTTTGATCGTCCAATCATTGGCAGGTTTTCAGCTAAGATTCTGTTATTTAAATATAAGTTCCGTGGATAACAAAAATGGTTTTTTGACCCGTCCGGCTTGTCTTCTTCCTCTTTCTGATTCGAATGTCGTTCTTAATGGCGACCTTTTGATTGCGTGTTAAAGGGGATTCTCTTTTATTATTTTTAGCGTTAAGTCACGCTTCTTTCGCTTCATTGAGGACCTTCTTCTTCAATCGTCTCTCTTCCTTTGATCGCTTTGTTTCTGAATAGATTGGATTTGGGAGGAGCAGAGGTTTTGGAGCTATATTCTCTGTTTTGCAGAAGCTTTCAGTGGTGCTGGAAGGCTTCCTTTTGAAGCATATACTATGGGTTTGATCTGTTCGTGCTTCTGCGTTGAGGATTCTCGCAATCCATATGGGTCACTATATAGACCTTGTGGCTGTCTAAGTTTCTTGTCTCAACGGTTCATGCTTATGGTAAGTTGCAGCAGGAGTTGACTTTGTTTCTGTTGAAGATGGAGAAAAAAATTTCTATTTTGAAGGTCTATAGTGTTGTTTTATAAGAATGTTATTGATCATTTTATTGCAGCTAAATGATGTGTGTTTGCTTCATGTTGAATTTGACAAATTGCTACATAACATATAACATCATTGAGAAACAATTAATCAGTTGCAGGGAAAAAAAATTGCAAATTTAGCTGCAAAGTTTCTATTGCCAAATGGTTGAACTGAAGGTGTTTGTTTGACATATAAGTATCTTAAATTCTTTAATATTCAAGTCTGATATGTAGTCAAAGAAATATTTTCTAACATCAGTAAACTTCAATGTCTTGCACTCATGTGCAAGATAAGCAGTAAAGCAGAATAGAATTAATTGAAATATGCTTAAGATATTACCTACTTCATTCCTATGATGCAGTACACTTTATTATTGCAACGAGAAGAGCATGCGGCTCCTTCATCTTCATCTTCCTTGGCTCCTGTTGCACCGATAACGGATGAATCTTATTCTAGCACATTTCGCTCTCCTCCGAGACCTCTAGCTTTCGATGACCCCATATTCACTCGGAAACGTGACGATGGGCCTGCGAGAAGACACGAAAAAACTTTAACTCATTCTTACGAAGAATCGGAGTCACTCAGCAGAGTAAAGAATGAGGGGAAGATTGAATCAGCGTGCTTAGCTGCTAAGTTGTGTGGTTATAACTGTCGAGTGTCCACAAAGTGCTGCTCAGAGTCCTCACGGAAACATTCCTCGACTGAAATAATGAGTGGGGCAACATGCATGTTTCCCTCATCTGAAGAGGAGGATGTGTGCCCAACATGTCTTGAAGGTGAAGTACAAAAATCCTTGGTTTCAAGCTTCTTTCTAGCAAAGAAAAATATATATTTCATTATCATGAACTGTTTTTTATTTTTTATTTTCGGTTCTTTTAACTATTATATAGCCATTGGCAAGTAAAGTGCAATAGATAAAAGAACCAAAATAAATAAATAATAGTTCGTGTTAATGAAATTTACATTTTGGGTGTGTTTGGTTGTCTACTTGGCTACTATCCTTTATGTGAAAAGAGAAGAAGGATAATTTTTCAGATGATATTGTTTTTGCGCAAGTAACACAACAAGCAATTCACAAATCAAGACAGTTCACCTTAAACTTCATCATAAAGTTGAAACAATACTGATTTTCATGAAATTTTAAGATGTTTTGATCATTCATCAAGCTCATAAAAGTAGCAATACAGTGGAGTATCATGATAGATTAATGAATCGGGTATCTCACTATCATGATCATCCATTACTGCATGAGGACTAAGTTGTTGATTATCAATGGTAGGATCTTATGCTAGCAAGAAGTAATTTGGATTCCTTGCAGTGGTGATGCTTATTTGTGAAAAATGTTACTGAACACCGTATGTATTAGTGACGGTCAAAATGAGAGAAATTAAGGGTCTGGAAAAAAAAGAAGAAATTTAGATACATACCACACAATTCTTATGTATCTACATATCTAGCACTAAAGTTTGATATTTACACTTATAACACCTTAGTGTGATAAATCTAGCATGAAAAGCTGTCTTTCACTTTTAAAAGGCTAGTCATGGTGGTATTTTTGATATGATGTTAAAGATTTGAGTGATATGCATGTAAGCATGAATGTTTAAGAGTTAGATATGCAATTGCATAAGAATTGTGTGGTATGCATGTAAATGCCACAAACCCCCCAACCCGTGCAAAGCACCAAAAAGAACTCCATGTAGCTTCAAGATACATTTATATGTAAAGTTCCTGATCAGAAGCACTCAACTTCATTTTTTTTTTTAATTTGCAGAATATACTTCTGATAATCCCAGAATAATATTACAATGTTCTCATCATTTTCATCTTGGTTGCATATATGAGTGGATGGAGAGAAGGGAACTATGCCCTATTTGTGGCAAGGTAAATTGCATTTTACATGTTAATTACTCGTTCTTGATCTATAAGATTGAAATATTTGTCCATTTTTGTCATTTCAAACCTGATTTTATACATTGAGGGCTCTCTCCTGATGCAATTTTACTCGCAGGTGATGATCTTCAATGAAACCAGTTGATGGAACAACCAATAGAGCTTCCCTTCAGTTTAGAATTTGTGAATATGTAGGCACTGCTTTCAGTGAAATTTAATCTGAGAGTCGTTGCATTTGTGAAATTAAAATGTGGAGTCCCTCTGCTTTATTTATTTTTTCTCTTATTTGATGTATCATAAAATAAAGTTTGTACAGAAGAAATATTCTGCTGCATCCTCTGCTGGAAGGAGGATTCTGTTGAACAGCTTTTGAATTCGTGTTGTAGAAACCCCTGATTGGAATTCTCTGTTAATTTATAGGTTTTTTTTTTTTTGGAATTATTTGGCCGGTTCAAGACCTTCGCTAAATGTTCTAAATATCTTTATGATGAAGTTTAATATAAAAAAATGGAAGGATTAGTAACAAAATTAATTACAAATTGAATTAATTATTGTGATAATTGAGATTCTATGTTTTAGCCATTCCAATGTTAATTTTTTTTTATCATTTTTGATATCTCAACCATTTTATTTTGAAATGGAATTGCAAGTGATTAGAGCTTTAATTTTCCATTCTTATTTATTTAAAAAGTTTATTCCTTTTGTGCAATTAAAAAAGGGACTTGTGAATCGAATTGAGTTGATTTAAAGTTCGTAGCGCTCAAAGTGGCACAATTTGTAACTGGGTTGAAACCATTATTTTCCCATTTCTCTATAAAAAATAAGATATATATATATATATATACATACTAATCATATACCCACACATATCTCTATATATTAGGTTTTAGGTTTAGATGATATACATATTATTTATACTTTATGCTAATCTCAATATAGCTTGATCACTACTTGAAATTGACCTGAGGATCAGATTGAGCCAAAAGATTTTCTCGTGGCTCTTTTAAATTAAAAAAAAAAAAACCAACTGACAAGCACAAGAGACTATAAAGTGATCAAAAATCAACTATCTGCTACTTAGGACGCAGAGTCGCAATTAAATCAAACCTGAAATTAGACTTTTACATCAACTTGAAATGTTCTATGTGATTAGAGGCTCTTATGCTTGCAACTACTTATTAATGATAATGATCACACCAACACATACAAGCATCATCATTCTATTCTAATGACCATATCCCTCATGGCAGATGATAGTTGGGACACTACACTCAATGTAAGTGTTTAAGATCCTTGGAGCCTTTATTAGTGGACCTACCTTTCATTTGTACCGTCAAAAAAATGAGAGCAGTAAGGAGTCTTAAAATATCTTCCTTCCTTCAGTTCTAATGATCAAGTGTGAGTTAATGTTAGTTTTTTTTATTAAAACTTTAATTTGGCTTAGAATCAAAATTAAAATCTCCGATTTTAATTCGAGATTGATTAACTTTGAGATTGATTATCTTTCTTTTGGCTCGAGATCACTCCCATTGCAGAGAATCTTTAAATCACAGACATAGCTGGTTACAACTGCTTTATTTTTCGCTTGATGCACTAATGATCATCATGCTGTAATGGTGTGGGATGCTTAATGCAAGTAATAAAAATAATAATAAATATGCATTTCTCTAAAACACCGTTTTCCAACCTCCGGCTATTTATTTCAGAGAGGCAATATATAATCAACAATTATCACAACATACTTATTTTGATACATAAATCCACCTATTATAAGCTCGCATGTAGCACACTAATGCGTTAATTTTATAGCATTGATTTGTGATATTAAATAAAATGAAGCTTGACTTGGTATGCATATCATTGAGAATGAGAAGGCCACAATGATGACACAATTTATGTTATCTATTTTTAAATTAATGTATATATTAAATGAATGGTTCAATATAGAAATTTATTTAAAAATATGCAATACAAATTATGTTATCATTATAACTTTCTCATTCTCAACGACATGTCCATCAAATAGAGCATAATTTTATTAATATCATGAATCAGCCACCTTGATTATTACTACAACTCATTAATAACAAGATTACAAATCCTTCCCAAGAGCAATTTTATCCTCCAGTAGAGACTTCTTCTGCACACATGGATCAAATATTTTTCAGAAAGTTCACATAATCATTTAACACATGAAGGCAGATATAGGCAAATAAAATTGAAACCGAGCTGGCTCCGTTAATGTGCATGAATTATAGCTATTATAGACACCTAATCTATACCTGAATTGAACTATGCTGCAAGTGTTTAATGAGCTTCTCATGAATCTGACTTCATATATAAATATTAATATTTAATCATACTAATACTTATAGGTTTATCCTAGCCAAATTCCAATAGTTATTGATCTGCGAAAATTGTGCAAATGATCTAAGATCATACAAATTCTTTGTTCAAATGTACATACGATCATGAATCATGCATATGACCAGAACATAGACCTGTATAATTTGCACTCCCTTTAGTTGCTAGGTGTCTGATTTACAAACAATTTTGCTAATTTACTCTTGACATAGTCTGGTATCCTATGCATATTTTTTCATAATTTTAAGAGTATTGTATTGTCCTAGAGATAAGTTTCTTGTACAAACAAGAGGGTAAAAAGAAAGCCCAAACATGGAGGCCCTCGGGGGGTTCGATTCACAAGCCAGCCAAGTTTAGGGCTCTAGTCGTTTTTTTTATCTTAGATTTCACTAATTGTTATATCTTGCATGATTTCTCATATCGTTCTAACATTTAAATATAAATCTACGTGTCAACTGATACTCCACCAAATATTTGTTCAGAACTTTATAGTATTAGTTACCTGTACATTCTTACATATTCAATAAGGGTATCCTTCTCTGTCTTATTCTCCTATGAGGTCTAACCATGTGTGATGATGTGCACGCAACTTAAGGTGAGAATTATTGACCGTATAAGTTTATAGTATCATTTTTCTGTTTCCTAAAGTGCATAAAATATCTCACATTCATGCTAAAACTATTTATAAAAACATAAAACTATTTATACAACCACACGTTTGCAATTATCATACAAACATGTTGATGATCTTTCAAACAAATAATAGTTCCAAGTGAATTATATGCTCTATTATTAATTAACATATATATAATATGGGTACTTACGCTCATTATGTTTGTGCAATGCATAAGTCCAATAAGATCGAAATTATGAGTTCTGATTTTTACATCGTCTTTAAACCCTCCAATTCGGTGCAGTCGAGCAAGACATAGAAAATGTAGATTAAATGAGAGCACAAATCGGTGTAACGATACTCCAAGTAGTTCCAAAGTTGCTCAAACATCATTTGATCATAAAACAAATCACAATGTCAAGCTCAAAAGACTTAAAATACATTGGGAAGGCCAGTCAATGAAAATAATGGTCGTCAAATGTGACCTCACACAAAATAGAATCAAATTTCTTCAAGTGCAGCCAAGTTTACTCAAATGATCATTGTTCACAAAATGAATTACATGAGCGCATATGGGACATCAAATTACTCATAAATAACACCAATATTGTTTAAATTCTGCATGTGAGCCATGGATGCTAAATTTGAGGCGACGATATAAACTCAAACTGCATGAGAAAGGAGGCTAATGGGCATGGATCATGATACTTGGAGATAAGTTTGATGAATGGAGTCAAGACAGAGTTTTATAAATAGCAAAGGTTTGAGCGTCTGTGAGAAATCACTTTCGAGAAAAATGGGATAAAATATAAACCAACTTTAAGAAAATCTCCAAAAAATTCCAAAAAATAATATAGAAGCAAAATATGTAAGAGCATGAAGTTACAGCACTCACAATACCTCAAGCAACATTCAGAATTATAGATCTCAACCATCAACCTACTAGGTCATGGTTTTTGCTCTTTTTCTTGTGAATGTCCTGTCATCATTATGGCCTTCTCATCCTCAAATGTCTGTGAACAAAGTAGAGCATGAGTTTATTGAAATCACACAAAAATCACATTCATTGCAGCTACAACATATTAATGGTTCTTTGGTAGGAAGAACAACATTCCTTCAAAAGAATCTTATGCTCCAGCAGAAACTTAAGCTGGATACATGAATCAAACATCATAAGAAAGTTGAAATAATTGATTTTGATAAGAAAAAGTTCTCTTTGGAAGCCAAAGAAAGTCATGAAAAATAAAAAAGAGCAGGGGTCGGTGCTCTGCCTGAAACACGGAGTGAATATCACATTTAAATAAATTAGCTCTAAGAAAAATTTATAGTTGAAATTACAACATTATTGCTATACTAGACTCAATAAAATTATAAACATATGAGCCTTATATGAAATTGATTTCAAATTCCTAAATAATATAGCATAAGATCGCAATAAATATGAAAACAAGGTCTCAAATAGTTATTTTCATAATAATATCTTATATAAAGTTGAAAAAAATCGGATATATCATACGAAATAGACATTCATTAATCAATTGTTAAACTTGTAAGCGATATACACTCTTCAAATCTTGTTCGATGTCCCATTCATTTTTTTCTAAGATATTTGACAGTAAATTTTTCAAAATTAAAATTTAGCACACTTGTTATCAAAATTAGAAGGCTTTGGTTAAAAAGGACTTTGGTATCCATTTTGATACCCCTACTCAGGATGTCCTCAGCGTTACCAAAGTTTTTCTAGGGATTCAATTCAAAAGATATAAAGAGATGGTATTTGATGATACTAGGTCGCAATTAATAGAAGATGAGAAAGAGTCTCCGAAACAAGAAGCTCAAAGGTTTTATGATTTCTTATATACTGCTAAACAACCCTTGTGGGATTGTTGTACCAATCACTCTGATTTATCTGTTTTAGTAAAAATGCAAGGCCTTAAAATAAAATTCAATATGCAATATAAAAATTTTAACTAACTTATCAAGTTGCTAAGAAAAACAATCCAACAAATAATTTAGTATTAGAAGATTCATATTAACTAACAAAATTAATTTTCAAGTTGAGTTTGAATGCGCAAAAAATAGATTATTTTGTTAACCATTGTATGTTATGTTATGAGGATGATGCGATAAAAAATGAATGCAATTTTTATATAACTCCTAAACTCAAACAAAATGAAAGAAAATAACATAAGAAAATGATAATTATAAGAGATTATTTTATTTGCCTCTCAATCCTCATCTATAAAGATTATATGCATCAATTTTTATTGAATATAAGAGATGATGCAATGAGAGAGTAATTCAAACAACCATTTCGACTCACTTACCAAATGCTAAAACATGAAAACACTATGACCATACACATCCCTAGTTTGCTTAAGATACTTGAAATATCTTTCTTAAATTATGTGTCGATAGATTCCCGACATCAGTCTAGCTTTCTCATCTTACTTATGCCAGTCACCTATAATTAGAACTTAAATATCCCTCCACTAATTTGCATGACCATCCCTTTTAACTTTTTCATTCTTATTCTTTACAAGTTATGAAATCCAAAAGGAAGATTAGAAGTTACAGCAATTGAAGAGTTAGATGAAAAGTTTTATTGGAACATGATGGGCTTACGTATGATGTTCTCAAAAACTAATTTTTTAGATGAAATCGGCATTATGTGAGAAATTGGTGATTTTCTAGCATATGACACGCAATCAAGATAGGGCATAGCACAAAAATTAGCTTGTATATATACCAGATATTACTAAAAATTTTCGCATTAAAATATTGTCGGAAAAACTCATGGTTTGTTGCTATCGGTTACTTTTGCCCATGGATCATGCAATCTAAAGAAATAAAGACATATTTTTTAAAACACAAATAAGAAATCCTAAACCCCACCTTGGTTGACTGAAGGGCCAATATATTCATACTTGACTTGCTAAAATTTTTTAATGATCATGCCTGATTTATAATGAGCTTGTTAATTTTAATTAAATAAGCTAAAAATTAGAATGAATACTTAATTTTTCATATAAAATTAAAAATTTGATTTATACATTAATTTCATATACAACTAGTAAACAGGCTAAAAATTCAAAAGATTGCATAATTTTTTTTATATAAATTTATTAACAAATAGTTTTACAAATATGAATAAATATACAATTAAATAAATTTAAACTAGCATCTAACTAAGTATGCTCAGTAAATAAAATAATATATAAGTTGTAAGTAAACTTTTATCCAATCAAATTACACAACTAAATGCTGAAAAATTAGTTTATTGAAATAAAAATATAAAAAAATATTTTAAATCTATTGCATATTAATATTAAACTACAATATATTACTATTAAATATATAATTAAATAAGTTCTACTAAATCAAAATTTATTTAAATAATATATCATATAAGTATAGATTATTTAACAAACCATTTGTTAAACTTATTCGTGAATATTAATAAATGAGTTACATTATGCTCAAATGTAGTTCTTTTAACCTTCAATTTTTTAAAGAATGTTCAAACCTATTTACTTACTAATTTGAACAAACATGATCTAGTATTAATCCATCCGAGTTCAAGCTGTTCATCAAGTGCACTGATTCATTTAAAAACCTTACTGTAGACCAACGCCGAATGGGCCGAATGGCTCGCCCAATATCATTGCATAGAACAAAATTCCAAATCAACTGAACAATTAACATCCATCAATCCATACTCCACAACACTTCACAAAATCATTATAAACTAAATGGATTGAGGAATGGATCGATCAGAAGCGTACCGGGGGAGAAGATCAGCTTTGATGCCGACAGAGATGGAGATCTCCTCGGCATCGTAGAAAACACGGTCCCCGCTTCGATCTCCTCCTCCTCCTCCTTTACGCAACCCTAATTCAACGAAAAGCTATGACCGATACCAGCAGAGCGGGACGAGGTATATAGAGAGAAGAGGGGGACGAGGTATATATAGAGAATACTGTGGCCACCGCAAGCGAAAGTGCTGTATGATCTTCTATTTAAAAAAATGTTGTAAATTTTTTTTTTTTTCGAGAAAGAAAGTCGCAAATAATTTATTCATATGTACCAACAAATTAATGTTTTCGTTAATATTATGATTTAAGTGAAATTTTTGGGCTTTTTACACAAGGGCCCCCCAAAGATAACCCCTTAAACAATCAACTCATGTATTTTCATTTGAGCCGCTCAAAACCTTTTTTTTTTTTCGTCTGAAAAAGTCAACTTTGCCCGCCTCCATCTCCCTCTCCCAAGAAGAAATAATACATCTGGATGACTGCATATTCGGACGACCAACCACCAGCCGTTACATCACCCACACATGATATGTATGTACGGTATCTAATATTTTCACCCCAACTGAGCTATATGTATATATATATATATATGTATATAGATGTTTTTGCCAACTGGGAAATAAGAAATTTCATATGAAATATTACATAAAGTAGATATTTTGCCAATTGGGAATTAAGAAATTTCATATATATTGCCCTCTAGATATGGGTATTTGATTTGTATCACATATATATATATATACATATTAGGACGTAAATAGAAGTGGTGACGGTGGGTAATAGCCCAATTTAGATATTTCTGTAGTGGTATGAAGTTACTGAGTATCATAAACACTTTGAGATAAATTTTGATAGAGATAAATTTCAATTCACATATTAAAAAATAATAATAATAATAATATTTATTAATTAAATTAATTAGCAACTAGATGATTTGCATTCTATTCATAAAATTCTTAGATGTTTATTTAATTGATAGTTAAAATTGTTTAGTTTATTTGTGGCAACCAAATGTACAAGTTAAATCAAAATGTATGTATAAAAGTATATAGTTTATACAATAATTTTTTTGATGTAATTTTAAGAATAGTATGATGTATATATGTGAATAAGGCAATTTAATATTAAATTGATATGTCCTCAAAAAATTATTTTAATCATTCATGAATCACAAAGTATTTTTAGCAAGAAATAATTTCAATTACGAATGCATGATCATTCCAGCCCCGATTACACATAACTTGGGACCAATCAAGTCCAGATCATGTCGTTCAAGTAAAATTTGAGGCTTTGGATCATCATTTGAGTGATGAAATGGATTCCAAAACTTGTAACTTTATAGTCAAATCAAGCTTCTCCATTAGAAGAATCGAACGAGTCCAAAATCACTTAATTATGACATCATTAGTCACTTAAATACTCATAAAACATCATTTTAATTCAAGGGAATCACTCTGGATGACCGATGAAGCGGTTCATATTCATACAGTATTTACGGAGAATTTCATCTCAAAATCATACCAGTACTAATGTCTGATTGTTATTGTCATTGAACAACTACCGTTCGACCGTATCAACCGTCAGACCATTGTTGTTAAGTCGTCATCATCGCCGCCATCAAGCCACCGTCGCTATCCACCCAACAACCGCTGCCCTGTTGCCATCTCCATTAAGCCGCCTCCGCCACCAGACCAGCGTCGCCCATCCTCCATCACCGATTTCCATCACAATTATGATAATCAGGTTGTTGCCACTTCGCAAAGAATTCCACCTAATATTGCTATCCACAATTCAAGAGCCAGTAAAGTCTTACAATTTACAACAAAATTTTTTTTTGATATTTGAATTATTAAATATGCAAGCTTATAGGTATTTTATTTTGACGGGGACTGGGTCCCATGGAAGAATCAAATCCATGAATTCATGGCCGTAGGAAGCTTCCAAGCAGAAGAACCTGGTTCTTCTGCACTCACGGCATATGCTCGCCTAAAGCTGCTGATGTGATGCATGGAATTTTTTTTATTTAAATGTGTTGTGCTAATCAGATGATAATGATAATCGAGATGATGATCAAGAGATGATTCTCAGGAGATGCTATTTTGATGACGACGATTGGAAGATGATAAACTCTGTTTTTAGAGGTCAATGCTCATGTTGTCAGAAAAACACATGTTAAACCTTTTTAATTAAGTTAATTTAAATTAAATTTAGCAAATTTAATTAAGTTTTCGTTTACCGGATATGGAGAGGAAATAAAGGGAATATTTATTTCTTTTTTTTGGAGATGGAGAAGAAATTATTTGCTTTGCTCGAAGATTTTGAAGGAAATATTTCAATTTTTTTTTCTTTTCAAAAAAAAGGTTCTAAGCAAGGATTTTTGTAGAGTAATTTTTTGCAGAAAAATTTCATTGCAGGTTTAATTTTCAAATGATAATTTCTGGTGTGAAATTCGAGGTGGTGAAGTTCAATGGAACTGGTAACTTCGGATTGTGGCAAACGATGGTGAAAGATCTGTTGGCGCAACAGGAAATCTTGAAAGTTTTACGAGCAACGAAACCAGATGTCATGGAGGATGAAGATTGAGAAGAATTGCAACAGCAAGCGGCAGCGACAATACGCCTATGTCTGGCAGATGAAGTTATGTATCACGTGATGAATCTGAAATCTCCATGAGAAGTTTGGAAGAAATTGGAAACTTATTTTATGGCAAAATCTCTGACGAACAAGTTGTATCTGAAGCAAAAGAAGTATGGGCTGAAGATGCAAGAAGGTTCTGATCTGGCGCAACACGTGAATGACTTCAATCAAATAATCACGGATTTATCACGGCTTGATGTGAGTATTGAGGATGAAGATCGAGTGATGATTTTGTTGTGTTCGTTGTCATCTTCTTATGAACACCTGGTAACTACTCTGACATATGGGAAAGAGACTATCAAAATTGATGAAATTACTGCAGCGTTATTGGCTCACAACCAGTGGAAGCAGAATGCAGAGGAAAGCTCTCACGGTGACAGTTTATATGTTAAGGGTAAACATGATTGTGGAAGGAAAAAAGAGAATGAGGGTTCTAGAAAGCGAAATTTCAGATCGAAGTCCAAAAACAAAATTCATTGCTACAGTTGCAAGGAGTCAGGTTATATGAAGAGAGATTATCCATAGCTGAAGAAGCAGATTGAGGAGAAAGGTGATGCATCATCGAAGTCTGTAAATGTGGTGCAGGGTGACAATTCAGATTGCAGTGATAGTGATATGCTTTCAATCTCATCAACTCAGTTCACGGATGCATGGATTCTGGATTCAAGGTGCTCTTATCACATAACACCTAACAGGGAGTGGTTTAAAGGTTAACTAATTCTGGCTCAGTAATTCTGGCTCAGTCTATTTGAGTGATGATATATGCTGCAATATTGTTGGTATTGGAAAAGTCAGAATTCATATGTATGGTGACACAGTTAGAACGTTATGTGATGTCAGACATATTCCAGAATTGAAGAAGAATCTGATTTCCTTGGGCACTCTACACAGAAATGGTTTTATTCCTAAGGCATATGAGAATAGGAAAAACATCAGAATTGTTAAAGGTGCACTGACGGTGATGAAAGGAAAGTTAATTGTAGGAAATATCGACAAATTGTTGGGGAGTACAGTTGTAGGTGGAGTTCATTATGTGGAGTCAGATGATGATAGTACAAAGCTATGACATATGCGTCTGGGTCATCTCAGTGAACGTGGGATGGCAGAATTGCATAGAAGAAATCGGTTGCATGGTGTTAAAAGTTGTAAGCTCGATCTTTGTAAGTTATGTCTTCTTGGAAAACAGATTAAAGTCAGTTTTATGACTGGAAAACATAAAACTGAAAAGATTCTTGATTATGTGCATTCTGATGTATGGGACCCTACTAGGGAGTTGTCATTGGGAGGATCTCAGTATTTCGTTATCTTTATTGATGATTTCTCCAGGAAAGTTTGGGTGTATTTCTTGAAGCAGAAATTTGAAGTCTTATCTAAATTCAAGCTATGGAAAGCTTAGGTGAAGAACCAAACTGGCAGAAAAATCAAGTATTTGAGGTCCGATAATGACGCAGAGTACATAGATTCACAGTTTCAGAAATTCTGTGCGGAGCATGAGATTCAGAGACATTTTTCAGTGTGCAAGACACCACAGCAGAATTGGGTGGCAGAAAGGATGAACAGGTCCTTAACTGAAAGGGCAATGTGTTTGTGTGCTTGAGACTGAACTGAAAGCAAAGCTTCCTAAGAGTTTCTGGGCAGAGGCTGTGAATATGACATGTTATCTCATTAATAGATCACCTCGAGCAACATTTGGTGGCAAGGTCGCAGAAGAGGTATGGACAGGTAATCCAGTTAAATTTGATCATTTACGGATTTTTGGATGTCCTGCTTATGTGCATGTACCTGGAGATGAAATCTGGAGATGAAAGATCTGGAGATGAAAGATCAAAACTTGATGCAAAATCTAAGAAGTGCATCATTCTAGGCTATAAGAAATGTGTGAAACGATACAAGTTTTGGGATCTGATTGCAAAGAAAATGGTGAACAGTTTATGTTAAAACAGAATTAAGACAATGTGTCAAAGAAGAATTCCAGTTCAGATGCAGTGCAAATGGATTTAGAACAGCAGCCAGTAGCTTCTGAGAGAGGTGAAAGGTCAAATCCAGCACCTGGTGATTTTATTCTAGATGATCTGCAGAATTATAATCAAGCCAGAGATAGACAGAGACGCACCAATGTAAGGCCTCCTAACAGATTGAGTTATGAAGATTTTGTCTCTTGTGCACTTCTCATCAGTAGCGATAATCCAGCCACTTTTTAAGGAGCTATCACTAGCCAGGAGAAAGAGAAATGGATGAGTGCAATGGTTGAGGAGATGGAGTCTTTGCAGAAAAATTGCACTTGGGAGCTAGTTCAGCTTCCAGAGGGAAAAAAAGGCTATTGGGTGCAAATGGGTCTACAAAAGGAAACCATCAGTATCAGAAAAAGAAGGGGAAAAGTTCAAGGCTCGATTGATAGCAATAGGATTTTCATAGCAGAAGGGGATAGATTATGATGAAATCTTTTCTCCTGTGGTTAGGCATACTTCAATCAGGGCAGTTCTTGCATTGGTAGCTATTTGGGATTTGCATTTAGAGCAGATGAATGTTAAAACTGCTTTCCTGCATGGTGATTTGGAAGAGCAGATTTACATTGAGCAGCCAAAAGGGTTCACTCAACCTGGACAGGAGCATCTTGTTCGCAGGTTAAAGAAATCGTTGTATGGGTTAAAACAGTCTCCAAGACAATGGTACAAGGTTTGACTCCTACATGATTCATATTGGCTACAAGAGATGTGAGTATGATTGTTGTGCTTATGTGAAGAGCCTTGATGATGGTTCTATTATTTTTATGTTACTGTATGTTGATGATATATTGATTGCTGCAAAGAATATGAATGATGTCCGTGGTTTGAAAGCTTTATTAAGCCAGGAATTTGACATGAAAGACTTGGGTCCTACGAAGAAGATACTTGGAATGGAGATTCATCGAAACAAAGGCTCAAGACGATTATTTTTATCTCAACGATGTTATGTTGAGAAAGTGCTGGAAATGTTTGAGATGAGCAAAACAAAACATATAAGCACTCCTTTGGCAAATCATTTTAAGCTTTCTTCAAAACATTGTCCTAAGACAGATATAGAAATTGAAGACATGACAAAGGCTCCTTATGTCAGTGCAGTTAGCTGCTTGATGTATGCAATGTTATGTACTCGTCTTGATTTGGCTCATTCTGTTAGTCATGTCTGCAAATATATGGCTAAACCTGGAAGGCGGCATTGGGAAGCAGTCAAGTGGATTTTCAGGTATCTGAAGGGTACTATAAGACATGGAATTATTTTTTGTAGTCAGCAGAATGATCCTTCAGTTGTGAAGTATGTTGATTCAGATAGTGATTTGGATGGCAGAAGGTCTACAACTGGGCATGTGTTTACTCTTGATGGAGGGCCTCTATGTTGGAAATCAACAATTCAGTCTATTGTGACATTATCTACAACTGAAGCTGAGTATATGGCAGTAGCTAAAGCTGCTAAAGAAGCCTTAAGGCTTGCTGGGCTAGTAAAGGAACTGGGCATTAAGCAAGTTGTAGTTCAGTTGCATTATGACAGTCAGAGTGCTATTTATCTGGGTAAGAACCAGGTGTACCATGCGAGAATCAAGCACATTGATGTCAGATATCACAAGATCAGAGAGTTGATTGTTTTTGGTGAGATATTGTTGCAAAAGGTTCATGCAGCTGATATGTTGACCAAGTCAGTTACTATCAACAAGTTTTTGCATCGCTTGAACATGTTGAATGTTTGCAATTGCTAGGAAAGCATGGTGGCCCAACCCACAGTAGTGCAGGTGTAACTTCTAAGTAACTTTTCTCCTACGGGGCTGGATATTCGTCAAGGTGGAGATTTGTTATGGTATGACTCATATACCATATAGGGACAAACTCTGGATCGAAGCGGAGTGGAGCGGAAGAATCTGTCCAAATCAGAAAGTTACGTGGGTTGGGGGTGCAGGGACAAAGCCCCGTGGTACGGTACAGCGGTAATGCTGTAATTACGTATTGTACTTAGGGTTTACTCCCGGGGTTATAAATAGGCCTGTTAGTAACCCCAGGAGATATCCCTCTATTTTGTAACATCTTTTTTGAATATTGAAAGGAATAGGCCGCTCTGCTCCCGAGGACGTAGACATCTTTGTCGAACCTCGTTAAATCTTTGTGTTCTTCTGTATTTGTGTCGATTCATGTTTTTCTTCGTCATAATTTCTCAACAAAGCCTAATAATCTTTTATAACCCACAATCATAATTTTGAAAAAAAAAATAATAATAATAATGTTCAATCACTTTATTGACATTATATTCTTAAGTACATAATGTCACCTTTATTCTTGAGGTTGATGATGTCTGAATAAATAAAATTAGTAACTGAATCTTGTTTTAAATATATAAATAAATAATTTTTAATTTTTTTAAAAATGATACATAATCGCCAAAACTTTGTTAAAAAACTTATAATAAGCTTGCAAGAGTGCTTGTAAAATACATCTGTTTGTGAAGGAAGAAAAATCAAAACTCTTAATTCTCATTTTGTAGACATCTTTTTTCTCTCTTATAATAAGTGGTCGACTATCATCCTAAGTATATGAGTGGAGGCTCTAAAACTTCTTTATAAAGTGAGAGATTATTACGTGTGTAATCCATACGCGCAAATTGGGCGAGTACACCACGAGTATACTCCTAAGCACACCCTGAATGCACTCATCTGCACATACAAATTCATCCGCGTGTAATATTTTTTTTTCTTTTAAAGAGGCTTGATGATGCCTTGGATAAGCGATGCATTTCCCCTTGGAAAATTACAATGCTTATTTATAAGTAGACCAAACAGTTATCATATTAAAAAATAATTGTTAGATTACAATACTTAATTTTCTCTTATTTTTATAAAGAATATTTTTTAATATGATCGAAGCGTACTTAGTTATCATATTATAAACTTTTGTCTGATATGTGGGATGATGATATTTTATTTATTTGTTTATTATGTACTGCTCTCAATCTATTTTTGATTACTTTGGTATTCTTAATGTGTTATTTACTAAATTAGGGTCTATCAATCTTCATTCACCCACCTATATCTAAAATAAATGAGTCATGCACCTCCTATGATATAATGTTTTCATACGGTGTCATTTTAAAAATTGATTGAAATTATTATTGTAAGCAAACTCAATCAAATGAATAACATCATCTTAGCCTCCTATAAAATCAAGTTCAAATAATGAAAAAGTATTCTCTAACACCTGAATGATCCTCTCAGACTGACCATTTATTTGTGGGCAAAGGTTGTACTGAAGTTTAACTTGGTCTCTAGACTCTCCTAAACACCTCTCCAAATATAAAAGTGATATGCCAACATTTAAAAAATAATAGTCTTTAATGTTCCATGCAATTTGACAATCTCACTTATATATAATGTGCCTATTTCCCAACTAAATTCATTAGCCTTGTAAGAAAAAAAAAACATATTATTTATCAACTCATCAACCATCATCCACACAACATCATAACCTTGTCAAGACCTCAAAAACCCATAACAAAATCATAATGACCTGCTTCCACTTCCACTTAAGAATAGCAATAGATATAGTAAAATGTTATGCCTCTAATTCTCTATTCTTTTCATCTAACAAGTCTCAAATTTAAAACAAATGTTGTCATTTCACACTTCAACTCAAGTCACTAAAACATTATTTTCAAATCATGATACATCTTACGACTCTTTAGGCTTATTATGAATCTAAAATAATAAGTCTAATGTAATATCTCAATTCTTAGGCAATTACTGGAAAGAATTTAAAGTAGACACCCATGAGTCAATGAAACATGTTCATCCACATAAAGTTCGACTCTCCCTCTTAGTTGAATCCGACCCACTAAACTTGCATAGTCATCATCTACCATTTGAGCATCCTTAACCCTCTCCTAGAAAGAAGCCTAAACAATCATTCATGAAAGCACTCAAATATCCATATATGTTGAAATAACTTCCAACTTTAATATCTCCATTTCTTAAAGTAAAGAATCATTAAATATAATCATACAAGATGCCACACAAGTAGAATGTCAACTCCCAACTAGAAATTTTATTCTTAAAGTAATTGATATCTTCCTCAAAACGGAAAGTTATTTTAGCTCTTTTATAAATATGGACAGTGAGATAATTAATAGGGAGAAGAATCATATTAAATTCTAGGATGTCCTTGATATGGTTTTAGGAACTAGGTTGTGAGGCTTTAGTTAGGATAAAGCAGTTTTTCAAGTTATTAATTGGTAAGTTACTACATTTTTCAAATTCTCTAAAAAATTCTTTATACACCTAATAGTTTTAACAAAGCCAATAAAAAAAACTAGAGAATCATTAGCAAAATTTAAATGAGATATATCATGAGCAAATTTAGTTTTGAAGTAAGAAAGTGGGGTGGTCCCCGAAAAACTTATTAAGACCTTAAGGTAAGTATTCCTCTTCAATGAGAAATGGAGCATAAGAGATATGAACACCTTGCTTAAGACCCTTTTGAAATTTGAACTGATCACAATATTTGCCATTTACCATAATTAAAAAATCAAGAATTATTGAAACAATTAGAGAAAAAAATTAAGACTCCTATTATCAAAGCAAAAAAAGCAAGAAATTTTAATTAGAAATTCTATTCCAAATTATCATGAACTTTAGAAAAATAACTAAAAAAGGCACTTTATTTAGTATTTTATTTAATTTCTGCATAATTGTGTATGGTGGTTTGCTAGAGCGCCACAATGCATGATACCAACACCACAACATCATGCCTACAATTCCAAGGTGATATTTTTTTCGAGAGCTTAATGCCTAGGCATCTCGGGTGATTAGCATCGCAATGTTAGTTCCAGCACCATAACACCATGTCAAACCATGCCGAGCTAAGTCGATAAGACAAATCTAGCATCACAGAACTACCACGTGAAGCACCCACTGCAATCAACGACCAGCCTCATGGATCAAAAGATAGAAAAAGACCAATTCGCAATGCCAAAAACTAAAAGCCACATGGTCGCCACCTAGTGCCACAGTGGTAGATTTGAGCGCCACTGCTTAAAGGCAGCATCACAACACCATAACAGTAGAGAAGCAATGCGACAACCTGATATAAATGTTATTGAATGCAAACCTTAAAATGGATGGAGAGGTGCTATTAAATGCATGTAATATTAAAAGGTAGTATTGAAGAGTTTAAAAGAAGTTTTGACAAGGGTTTTTCAGTGTGAGTGCGTACCAAGTGTGAAAAACTCATGATAAGAAGAGCATTGGTATCTACAAAAAAGAAAGTAAGAGCATCCAATAGAATAAAAGTGTCATCTCCATCCAATTCAACAATATTGATAATAGTATGAGTTATTTAGTCACACTTAAACATATAAAGCTAGCCTTTTGATAAAATTCTAAAATAATAAGCATTTAAAGTAGCCAATGACATTACAAGCCTAAACAATAAAACCGGAATCAATATTGTTATTTTCAGCAATCAATATAATATTCAATATAAATATGTATTCATCTAAAGGGAAAAAAAAAAACTTGAATGTCTAATTTGCTAGGGGCATTGGGTTGCTATTTGTAAGACTATTCCATTGGCTATCATAATTAAGATAAAAGAGATCACAATTTTCATGGCAAGGAAAGCATCAAAATCATTGTCATTATTATAAGCACACTACTGCAATCGATTTGTCTTCATGTATAAGAAAATACTTGTAAGATAATTAAATCACATTTAACACCTTTAACTTTAAGGAAGTATATTTTTTAATATCAAAATTATTCGTTCAACTTAGTTATAATAGGGGCATCTACTTTTAATATAATATAAATTTAATTAACAAGAATAATTTATTGGATATTCTATAATTTTATATTTTTTGTAAATCTTATATTAATTTATGTTTAGTTATACCCTTATTCTCATGACAATTATCATTCTTGATGGAATTCTACAAAAAAACAAAAAACATTGGCAAAAATATCTTCTTTATCTTCTTGAAGAAGAGGCTTTAAAATCAAATGTTCTTATTTAATTAATGATAATTGAGATTGACTCATTTTATTCATGATATTTGATCAGTCTTTATCATCTAATTCCATGCATGATGCATTTATTCTCTTGTAGATTAAAGGTATGTTTGGGGTGGGTGCAATTTTTTAAAAAGATAATTGTAAATTTGTGGTTGAGAGAACACTTTTAGAAAGTTGTGGTAGGAATTACATATGTGTGTGTGTGTGTCTATATATATATATATAGCAAATATAAACATATTGAGATTTTTACCTTTAAGGGATCCTAGATAAATAGAAAATCTCATTTCATGGCTTATGTTTTTTAATAATTTTAGGTGATTTGAGAATATATTTCTTCTGAGATTTTTAAATATGCGGAGATCGATCTTATTTTAAAGGCCAACATCAGATTCTCATCAAAGGTTCTTTATTTATGTATCTCCTAAGGGTTTGAAGCGAAGATCCTATATGCCACATACCATCACGAGATCTTTGGAAGGAGGATCATGCCCATAATTGAGAATATTTTTAATGTTTATATCTTTTAAACCTTTTTAGATGAAAAGTTAAGATAACATTTATAATAATAATAATAATAATAATAATAATAATAATAATTTTTTGTTGACATTAAATATGGAATACAAGATGGTTTAAATATAGATACGAATATATAAAATTTACTTATAAAAAAATATTTTTTTGCCCTCTAGGTCATAAAGAGTATATCTTAATATGATATAACCTTTTTTTTTTTTTTTAAATGTTAACAAGATGGGGAGCTTAATCTTCTCCTTTAAGCAAGTACATGATTCAATTGAATCTCTAACTTTTTATAAAACTTCAAATGCAATAAAAGCTATTTTGAGTTGCATCAATAATTAGATCCTCACATTGGAGCTATTAGAGGTAACATGAGTGAGCTAATAATTTATCTTCTATTATTTCTTTGATACCCCTTCATCTAAGATAGTAAAGATCTGTTTAGAATAACTTTTTGTCTGCTTTGCATTTTAGATAGTCACCCCAATTATGTTCTGGGAATTATTTTTTTTTCCGCTTTCTAGAAATTTTTGTAGTTAAAGGTTTTTTTCAATTGACCTATTAAAGTGTGGTTGTTGTAATAATGTGTGTGTGTGTGTGTGTGTGTACACACACTGTCTGATTGTGTATGTAATACAAGTTCTCTTCACAATTGGTGAAACCGAGCAAAAAATTAGAGTTTTTGAAATAAATCTTTGTCCAAGAGGTGAGGCCTCGATTGGGTGCTTGTGGAAGCTTCACTGGAGTCAACGAACCTCTTCGAAGTGTTAGTTTGCTCTGGTGTAAACTCGAAGTATGATTTCGATCGAAGGGTGGTGTGGCCTTGGCCTAGAGATGGGTTAAAGGGCTCAACAAAGGGGAATTTTGATGGGGAACTTCCTCGTTTGGTCTGAGGAAGCTTTTGAGTGGCTTAATTTGGAGTTTTGTGGAGTTTGGTGGAGTGACAGAAAAAAAACCTTGGATTTTGAGTTCAAAATTGAGCTCAGGTAGGGGCAAAGAGGAGCTGAAGATGGTTGGCTTGTGCTTAGGAAAGTCAGGAGAAGCTCTGGAGAGATTTTAACAGAGTTTCCCCAAGAAATTGAGCACACTTGGGAGTTTGCCAAAAAGGGGGCTTCTTCTAGCCATGGTCAAGGGGAGGGCTCATGTTCTGATTGGGTGGTGCAAGAAGGCTGAGGTGGAGGGCTAAGTGGCGCAAGCATCCAATGGGGACGCGCCATAGTGGATGGGTTCAATTTTGCGTTTAAAGGGAGGACGGTCCCCTAGGATTTGTGCTTTCCGGCAACTAGGATGGTTGGCCAGAGGTGAGGTGGTGGCTAGGTGGTTCAGGGAAGTCTTAATTGTGATTATATTGAAGATTTGATGGCTGATTGCATGGGGGGAGGAGTTTAGCCAAAAAGGGGGAGCATATCTCCTTAATTTCGGGGACCCTTGGTCCATGGCTCAATTCTTAGGTTTTGGGTGATTTGATTAGCATCCAACGTGGCTAACCAAGGCAGGAGAGCGTTAAGGTTGGCTAATGCAAAGGATTTCAATCAATTTAGGGCTTAGGTTCAAAATTAGGGTTTTGGTTTGAACTTGGGTCTAGGTTGAGTTTGGGTTGAGATTTGGGCCAAGTGATTGATCAAATTGATGGGGAAGATTGTCATGAGAAGTTTGGAAAAGGAATTGGGTGATTTTGAATTTGATTTTGAAGGTCAATTTGGAGGAATTTGGCCATATGGTCAATTTTGGGGCATTTGGGTTAGACTTTGGGTTTGGATATGGTTCAATTTGGTGGGAATTTAAGGATATGAGTAAATTGGGGATTTTGGATTAGGCTCAATTCGGCTGGGATTTGGTTTCAATTAAAATTGGGGATGATGAATTTGAGTTTTGAATTAAAATTGAGGGAGATTGAAGTCAATTTAGTGGAAATTGGGAGTGATTTGGGCATTTTGGGTCTTTAAGGGTAAAATTGAGATTTTGGTCAAAATGGGTCAATTTGGTGGACCCAATGGAGTTGTTCAAATTAATTTTGAGGACATTTGAAGTGATTTTAGAAATTTTGGGAATTTTTTTAGAATTTTTGGGATATGAATGGTATTTTGGGAATATTTTAGGATTTTTGGAAAATTTGAGGTATTTTGGTCAATTTGAGTGATCTGGAATGGTTTGAAATGATTTTTGAAGAGATTTTGAGAATTTGGGTAGTTTTGGGAATTTTTGGAAAATCTAGGGTTTAGAGGCAATTTGATAATTTAGTGAAGTTTGGGACCAAGAAGGGTCAAAATTGGGAATTTGATAAAATTATAATTAATTGAGAACGTTAATGATGAAGTCACCCTATTTGAGCCATGAAACTAAGGGAACTCCCATTATGGATCATCCATGTGCTAATCTTAGCCAAACCCTAGCCCAGGGCTAATGGTTTGGGGGACCATCCACATGAGTTTCCAATATAATAGGGGATCAAGCTAAGGCATATTTGGGGTAGGGTTTAGGTTGCGAGTGCAAGTGCAAGTGTGTCTATGTGAGACTAACCAAGACCACACCACCCAGAGCTAACCCTAAGGCCAAAAGGCCAAACAAGGCCAAACAGTCCTGTGGGGACTCCTCTTGAGCTCCCTCATATTGGTCCCACCTACTAAGTGCTAGATGTCAGAACCAACCTGTGAAACTTCAAGAAGAGCAAGAAAAAATTTAGAATTTTTAAAGGTGAGGGTACCATCACTAGTCCTCTAGGAATAGTCAACAGGAAAGTCTTATCACTAGATCCTAGGTTTCTAAGGAGGAAACTAGACCTCAATCAAAAGTGAGGTCAACAGAGAGAGGGAGAGAGAGGGAGAGAGAGAGAGAGACACAGAGAGAGAGAGAGAGAGAAAGGTGAATATTGCTAAGAAAATTTTGATAACCAAGAATTTCACAAAACAAAGAGCCAATGATAGTAATCTTTGAAAAATAGAGAAAAATTTTGCATTCAACAAAATTCAATTGAAGTTAATTAAATATTTCCAAAATCTGTTTTAAAGCATTGACATTAAAAGAAGATGTTTTATCAAATAATACAAAATCAAGAGCATGTAAAATTAAGAGAGATGTTAATCACTCAATTAAATGCCAATAAAACAACTAGAGGATGCAAGAGAATCCATAATATTAGCGAAGACATCCACTACAATAGATCAAAGAATATATTAAAGTTGTAGAAAAACAAAACAAGACAAATGACAACCATGTCTTTAGCCCATTATAATAATTAAGAAAAAAAAAAGTTCGACAAAAAACATTAGATATGCATACAAAAATTTTTAAGATAGCTATTAATAATAAAAAATAAAAAGGCATCAAAGATAAAACCTTTAATTCAAGAGAATCGTATGAGGAAAACCTCTGTGAGCAAGCCTACGTGATAAGTAATTATTATTGACCAAATTCAATAGACGTCTTTCACATTATCACAAAACTATTTAAAATTATGGTTAAAGTAATAAAATTATATTTGAGGATGGCATTAACATTAAATTAATTATCAATCAGACATGTTCATGAATGAAAGTTTATTCAAATGATGAAATATGAAGCAAAACATTTTTTTTTCTTCCCATGGTTACCAACATTTTTTGTGATAATTTTATAGACATTATTACATAGAAATGTAAGTCTATAATCAGCAGCATAATAAGCAGGCGTAAAATTTATTTCAAGTAACATGAGATTGGGTTTAACAGTCTTAAGAAGGCTTAAATTTGATTTATAAGGCAAAATTATTCAATAACGATATAAAAAAGAGAGAGAGAGAGATACTAGCTTAGTTGTGAAACCATTAAGACGAGTGGCATAAATTTTGGTAGCATCAACCAACAACCTATTTAATCTCCTCCACAAACATAGCAGTTATAAAAGTCCCTAGAATAATGTTAGGAGTAAAGGAGAGGAAAGATAAGCTAAAGATAAAAGTGATTCTGAAAAAGATTCCTTAAAGCAACATTTTCTAATAGACCATTACAAAATTGTTTAAAGGGAAATTGACAAATCAGACCAACACTTTATTCGTCAAACCTAACTAGAGGCAAGAATATATATTTTTAATATATTCTCAGTATCAAGTGAGTGTATTATTCTCTTTCTGTTTAACCGATGAGTATTTTGCCACGGGTCACAAAATAAGATGAAGAATTTGATTCCTACTTTTGTTTTAACAGAAAAAGAGGGGGTCATAAAATAGCGAGATTCTTCATTTCCACCATAAGGTGTTCACTTCTCTTTGCCACTTCATCCGATTTGATATCTTGACAATAAGCCAAAGAACCGGAAATAAAAGTAGTTTTTGGTGAGAACATGCTTTCGAGAACCAGATAAAATCGGAAGTGTGATGCATAAAAAACAAAACCACTGTCTCACCTCATAAAAGAAGTATTTCTAATATCAACAATAATTTTCAAAAAGGTTAATTTTCCCGTAATAATTTTACAATCATTTATATAAAAAATTACCTCCACCCCCACACCCACTCTCAAAAAAAATAAAGAAAAAAAGAAAAAAAACCAATTCTCAACAAGCAAGTGAAACAATAAAAATAATAATAATTATAATAACCAAGAATCTGTATATGCCAAAAATACAACTCCCAAAAAACAGGTTAAATATATTCTAGGAAATGTATCATACATTCACAATACTTAACATTATCAACAGAAAACATACCACACTCCCTATTAGTTAACTCCCACACCACACTAACACATTGCATAACAATTTTTTACTAAATAGGGATAAAAGAAAACGATTATAAAAAAAAAGTAGCAAGCATAGACCCATAATTTAGATCCTCGGAGAAATTTACAGAACTAGATCATATAAAACTAACATGCAGGCATTTGAAACATAAAGCCACGGTAGTCTTCAGAATACCTTAGGACAGCGATCAGCTTGTTTGGTCTTTGCTTTGGCTATATTCACGTTATTTCCTTCTCATTCTCAATCATCTGCACGACAAATAAAGCATGATTTTATTAATATCACACAGAAGTCACCTTGCAGCTACATCTTATTAACAGTTCAGTCAGAACAAGACATACCTCCAGTAGGATTTCTCCTGCATGGACTAAACACATTAAATTTGATAATTCTCGATTTTTTTTTTGACACGCATTAACTTTTCTTGAGATTTCTGTTTTTTTTTTTTTTTGCTGGTAATATAAATCTCTAGTAATGATCATCATATATCTTGATGTATAGAATAAAGAGTGACGATGAAATCTTTATAGGGACATCAAAATGGAATAACTTTTAGGATTTTTTGGTTATCAGAGGGGGTGTTTTTGTCATTTGATACAAGTGATTTTGTCTTGGATGTGATTTGAGTACTACTTGCAAAGCATAAATATATAGAACTCGTTTGAGGCATTTTATCAAAAATTAAATCACATGAAATGTTTATTTATAAAATAGGTAACTCCAGCTCCACCACTGACCATCGGGCACCACAACCCCCACCACTAAATTAAATGATTTATTTATAAAATTCCATCATACATAAAATAAGTAATTTGAAATATTGTTTATATAAATTCCTCAGTCTATACTTTAATTGGCTCAAGCTTCACGTTGAGAAATTAGGGCGAAGAAAACGCAAGAATCAGGAACAAACAAAGGGATTTAACGAGGTTCGGCAATTTACCTTTGCCCTCGGGAGCAAGAGCAGCGGCTTTTTGATTTCTTGAAAAGTAGTACATCCCCATTAGGGTTATAATACAATATATATATATATATATATATATATATA